GGTATCTGCCACAAAACCCAAAGCGGGACGGGCTGTTTCGCCATCATTCAGCAGCCAGTAAACCACGGCCTGCCGGGCCACCGGGTCCCGCGGGCAGCGCCTGCCTCTCGCTGACCAGCACGGCCCTTTCCCATCCCCGTCACGCAGAGGCGCAACAGCTCGCTTCAGCAGTTGCCTCCTGCAAAGGAGACCTCTCCTGGTAGAGAGGAGCCTCTTCCCTCGCACGCAGAAGCGATTTGGGCTCGCCACCTGCAGAAACAAATGTCACCCAGCAGAGGAGCAGCTCAAAGCCAGGCTTAGACCAGAGGCTTACCCGTGTACACGCACATACAGGGACTCGTGCGCGGGTTTTGCAGGACTCCTCTGCCTGCTCCAACTGGAGATGCAGTCGTTTTATGTAAGAGTATTTCTTTAGAATCGGCATTGCGTACTCCACCGCTGTCCGATTGCACTGTAACGGGTCCGGTCCCTGCGATGCTTTGAAGGCTGGAAATTTTTTGTGTACTCCCCCAGCACCGTTAAAAACAAACCACACAGAAGGAACAATTATAAATCATAGAATCATAGACTCACTACACAACTTTAAAAAAATTACTGTTAAAAGATTTATTGCAATAATACAATAAAATTTAGAAAAAAACCCCCAAAACGTTCGTGTTTAGTTACATCTAGTCCGGAAGTTGCAGAGAGGGGCCGCGAGATTTTGCAGGTGACAAGGGACCCTTGGCTCTCCCACCGAGGCCTTTCCCGGGCACCCGAGCTGCAGCAGAGGGCTGGGCTCTCGCCGTCAGGTTCGTCCTTGGCAGCTCAGATGGGCCACCCCGGATCACCGGTCACGGACAAAAGTCACGGCCGCAACTGAAATTCCCGCCTTCATGCTACGCAAAGTGTTTTGTAAACGCTCAGCTGGCTCCTCCTTTCCCTCTCTCTCTCTCTCTCTCCCCCCCCCCCCCCCCCCCCCCCCCCCCAAACAACCTGTAAAACTAATCCTGGCGATTGCACTCAAGGTTTGGACACACACGGTTCTTCCTTAGCTACACATGTGCAAAACACTTTAAAAAAAACAAACACCACCACCCCCCCCAATCTGTATTCTGTTACAAAAAAAGGTTTTGTGAAAAGACCCATCCCAATGCATTTTACCCCCTTCACAGTGCCGTTGGGCACTTCCAGAATAAGACATGGCTGCAAATAAATTATTTGGAAAACATGATCGTTATGAAGTATATGGCTTAAAAAATTGGGTATTTTGTGTGTGTGTTGGTTTTTCTTGCCCTAAGTCAGTAAATGACAGCGTACGAAGCTGAATCGCAGCCTGACCTTTAGGGGTTCAGAGTAGCACAAAGGCAGCAATGAAAAAGTGACTGAAATGCGCGTTAAAAAGCAAGTAAACAAAAAGAAGGTATTTCTATGGTGGGGTCCAGTGCAAAATAAACGGGGAGCCAGAAGGGGCGTGCACAGTACTGGTGAGTACGTGCTGGTTGCTCAGAACTGCGAAGGATCCGATGGCTGCGAGCGAGTAAAGTGCCGTGAACCAGCGGTGACCAAAGCCCCCGGCCCGGGCAGCGCGGGGGGGACTGGGGGGCACCGGCCCCGCTCGGGCTGCAGCAGGCAAGGGAGCTTGGCTCTTCTCTTAGAACGAACCCAACTACTGGATTCAGACCAAAAGAACGGCAAAATAAAGGGTGACTTCGGCTAACAACGTGCGTGCCGTTAGTGCGGAGTTAAGGGTCTTTGGTTTTAAAAAAAAAAAAAAGAGAAAAATGAAAAGAAAGTACTGACAGCAGATGCCCGGCCCCGAGGCCAAAGAGGACGAGCTGCCATACAAGGGGGGCGGGAGGCTGGGGGAGACGACGCTCGGCCGGGACCCCTGGCACGGAGGAGCTCGCTGGGGTACGTAGGATCGGTACCAAAACTGCTTCTCCACCCGCTCCTCGGTGGGGACGGGAGGCAGCGCTGGCTGGCCTGGGGAGGCACCGAGCAAACCCACCACGGAAGAGTCGTGCGATGGGGTCAGCCGGCCCCGGAGCTGGGATTCGCAGCAGGGCAGAAACCTCCCCTCCCGCAGGGCCGGGCGGGTGCTTTTCCATTCGCCTGCCCCGCGGGGAAGTACAACGTCCCAACTCTATCAAATGTAAACCATACATCGGGAGGCTCACGGAGCAAACGCGGCTTTAAGCAACAGCGTGGGTGCCTGTTAACCAGCGCCTCCGTGGGTATCGCACCTCCTGCAGTTCTGCACGCCAGCCAGCTGCGCTGCCAGCGTTTCTGCAGTGAAATGAAATCAACTTCTTGGCGTTCAGTAAACAGGAAAAGAAGAAAAAAAAAAAAAACAACAAAAAAACCAAACCCCAAAACTAACCAACCCAAACCCCACCATAAAGATCAAATAGAACAGGGTTTAAAATGCGTGTAGTGTGGAGACCGCGCGACTTCATTCACCTAGCTTGAAATGAGGTTTTTCTAATATTAAAAAGTGGCAACGTGGTGGTGTAACTGATGAGTATTATTGCAACAACGCAATCCTGTATCGGCGTCAGATGTGGGTCTAGCTAAGAGAATGTCCAGTGTTTCTTTGGTGTATGATATTAAGAGTAAAGAGCCTGTGTGCTTTGGACAGCACAATACGGAACTTCGAGGCTGCCTACCGGTGGAAACAGCATGAAACAAGCCGGTTCTCTGCGGCAAAACTGGGTATCATTTCACAACCAGATCTAAAATCAGAGCAATCTGCTGTGTGAATTCCTGTCCGTGCTGATTCTTTGTATTAAAAATATGGCAACAGAGATTAGAAAACATGTTAAAAATGCATAATTTTCATGTCCTGAATGAAAAAAATTTAGAAATACGCATTTTTGCATTATGCAAGACAGATTTAAAACACACACAAACAAAAACCCTGTAAGGAGTTAAGGAAACGTGAACTGCATTTGCACCGCTGTCCAGACTGCACGCTGAGCAGCCTTCCCTCTGTACTCGTCCTGATCCAAGTACTCCAAAATCTGTTTCTTCTTTAGAAAGTAGAGCTGGAGGCTACCGGGTCCTTTTTCTCCGACACTCGACAACGCAGACAGAACCAAGACACAAAGTGCCGTCACAGAATCCGTCAGAAGCACGTAGCTAGCTAATTTACAAAATGGTACCATCACAGTCATCTTGGGTAAATAAAAAGGTTTTTCTGGTTTACAAAACGAAAGTCTGACCTTTTCTTTGTTCCAGGCACTACTTAACTGAATATGTAAGGTTTACTACAGCATTGTCGGGGAGGGATTCCTTCCACAAATCCTATGATCCTTTTCCCATGCTCGTTAGCGATGTCCAGTGTATGCTTTCAACCACGAGGTGACCGAGGCAGCAGCGGAGGAGATCATCCCACCCGCGCTGCTGCTGGCAATGGGCTGAGATACCTGCGTGCTCTGGCTCTGCAGCATCTCCACCTGCTGAGAGGGGATATCGCAGAACCTGGGGCTCGGCAGGTTCTCCCAGTCTGTCCCTAGGTCTGTCTCCTCATCGCTGACGTGCTCGTCTCCGCTCTCATCCGTTTCGCCGGCGGCGCTGGGATCCACAAACTCCATGGAGTCTTCGAGATCAGCGCTGATTTCGAAAGGCCCGGACCTGCGGACATGGACACGATGCCGTCAGCCCGTTTGGGGACCACGCCGCGACGACTGTCACATCCCTGGCGTGAGCCCTAGGCACGCCACAGCACCCTGCCCTGTCACGCGTACAGCACAGCAATTAAGACGCCCCTGCGTTTATCAGCGGGCAGAGAGAACCTCGCTGGCTGCCGAGATAACTCTGCTACCCCAGCGAGCGCAGCCGGCCGAGGAAGCGATAGCCGCGTTCCGAGGCGGGGAGCAGGAACGGCGGAAGGGCTGTTCCGCTTTGGCAGCGGGCACTGAAACAGCACACACACAAGAAAACGCTGTTGATGATAACTCACAGCTCCGCTGGTGGAAATCTCAGCTTGATGGGGAACAGCTTTTATTTTTAAGGCTAGCCCTGGCCAAGCCAAGAGGGCTGCAGCTCTGCCAGCGAGGGGAAGGGGGTAGTTTACTGCTTACCGAACCGGGCCGGCACAGCTCAGCAGTGAGAGCAGCCACCGCGGCAGCACTTCACCCTGAGCAACATCTCAAGATCTTTTTTACTATGAGGCTGGTCAAACGCTGGGAACAGGTTGCCCAGAGAGGCTGGATATCACTGGAGATATCCAAAACCCCACCGGCCGTGGTCCCGAGTAACCCGCTCCAGCTGGCTCTGCTCTGAGCAGGGCGATGGGCTGGATCTCCAGAGGTCCTGGCCAAAAACCCACCCGTGCTGTGACCCCAAGTTCCCCGTTGCCACTGCCTGGTGGGCAAAGCAATCACATCCCGCCCCATCCTGCTGCTTTGCACGGGAGCACAGGCAGCCAAAATCTGAAACATCTTTACTGAGCCAAAGCAGGCCGTTCCAGAGGCCCGTGACCCACGGTCAGAGAGTGCCAGGTTGTCACGGAGGTGGTGAAAAGTGGATTCCCCAAAGCAAGCAGCATCCCTGCCGAAGTTTATTCCAAGGCACAAAGCTGCTCAGCGAAACAGGAGCGAGAATTTAATACGGGTTAAGAGTGTTTCTCCAGCCTTAGTGGGAGAAGGAGCCTGAAGCAGCGATTTAGCATGGGAAACTTTTACCCAGACACTTAAAACTTGGTAAAATTGTATGTATCTGAAAACAGCAGTTTATAAAGGAGACTATCGGGCAACTATAGGCCTAGGTATCTAAGGGAAAACAAAGAACGCCGGTTGCTGCAAACTTTGCAGACAGCTGAGAAATTAAAGGTAAACAGTCCTCTCTCATAATCCAGAAAGGAATGGGAGTGCTGCCTTCTGGCAAAGCATTCTGCTTAACAAGGCAGCACAAGAAGAGAGTCATCAGGTTTAAGGCCAGAAGGGACCATTAGATCATCTCGAGTGACCTCCTCTATAGCAAAGGCCATTACATTCCGCCTGCTCCCCGCATCCTGAGCCCAGTAACTTCTGCCTGATGAAAGCACCCATTCCAGAAACTCATCCAGCCCTGACAGGATGATAAAAGGAAACAGGGAATCCCCACCTTCGTTCTTGAGGGTAATTAAACTCCGTGTCAAGCGCGCACGCCTCATTTCAACCTAGCTCAGACTCCTTCCTTCCAATGGTGTCTGTAAAGCCAGTCAGTAGCCTGCATTTTCTCCCCATGTAGGTGTGGAAAACCAAGTCATCTCTCAATCTCATCTCTAGCAAGCCAGGACAGCTTTATGCAGACTAAACTATTCCCCTCACTGGTAGGTATTTTCTCCAACTCCTTCCTGTTACCTTTTACTCCGCGGACCCGGCTGATGGGTGTGGAGCTCTGCCACACCTGCACAGAGAAGCGAGACCCAGCTCTGCCCAGCCCTTTTGCTTCATGAGACTGCCAGGCTTAGCTTTTTGTCCTCCTTTTACAGCAGCTGCTTTCCAGCACACAGTTCTTCATTCTCTGGCTATTTCCTGCACCCTCCTTGTTTTTAGACAAGCTGCAGCAAGCGCATCATTTTTCCCAAACTGAGCTATGTTACAAAGATTTGGCTAAGTCAGGAGGGATATACCCAAAGAACGTAAGGTAAGCGGTCAGAGGCGTGCGTTCAGTTCCTCTTAGTGGCACTGCAGGTTTTTAAATGAAACTAGATCTGTACACGAGAACAAAGTGGAAAAGTAGATTTCAGAACATTACTGGGCTTAAGGAGGAATAAAACAGCAGTCAGATTAAGCAAATATTTGCAGACTGTCTCAGGCACAAGTGGCTTGTGACTGGATTATCCCAACAGGAAATCAATGTTGTTGGCTCTCTTATATTTAAGTTGTAAAAAAAAAAAAAGGAAGATTATTAAACCTAGTGCGTGCAGCCCACAGGAACTGATGCTCTTTTCATCACATACTAAGTTAGCAGAGAAGTTGACGTTAATCTTAATTTACGTAGAAATTAATATTATTTGAAGTGTCAGCTTTGGTCTAGGGTGTTCACTGACTGGAAGTGTTTTGGGAAAGTTTTACCTAGAATCTGTTTTAGGGTTGATATTGCTGGGTGCTTTTGGGTATTTACATGTTGGCGAGATGTGGGTAGGGTCAGGTCTGGAGCACAGCGAGACTGCCTGGCACTTGTGCTGCTGTCCCCTGGAGGGAAGGAGTTCCTGCTTCTGGGCATAGGGGAAACAAGTCCATAGCCAACTACAAAGCCTCCAGCTGAGCCTGCCATACGCAGAAGCACAGCATGCACACATCTCTCAAACCTAATTTCTCACTCAGCACCCCCTTTTTCTGTCCTCTCCTGTCTCCTCCTTGTAACGACCCTGATTTCTGACGTGCTAGGGACTGACCTATGGGTATGGCAGACGAGAAGAATTTCCCCTATAAGTAACAAGGCAAACGCGTAACTTCAAAAGGGATTTAGTCACAGGTGAGTTGAGATACTGCTTTTCTTACCTGCCCAAGTTCTCAGTGTCTGGACTGACCAGGTACATGAGGTTCCTGAGCGTATGCAGTGGGTGCAACAGATCTAAATTTACATGCTACCGTGGGGGAGGTAAGAAAAAGACATGATCAGTTACTGGAGGAAACCTGCAGGCACAGTTGATATTTTAAAAGCTGTTTAGAGAATCCAAATGTGCATTCCCCCTACCTGAGAGAAGCAAAGGTGAAGGATATTAGCATTCAGCTTCTTCACTGCCCGCGTGAACCTGTGCCTGCTGAGATTCTCTCCACAGAACTCGCTGTTGAAACACCATACACACACACACACATATATATATATATATATATACACACAAAGCAAAATTCTGTGAAAATACACCTACTGGAGACATCAGCATTCTGTGCCCTGGCTTCCCAACAAATCTTGGAGTAAACATCCTCGCAGCGAGCACTTGTTTAAACTGTACGGCCAGTTCTAGAGTGCTGGGGAGATCAAGTTTTCACCTTGCAAGACTGTTAAGAGTTTCACCAACGAGCACTGCTTGCCCTAGTCTCACCGGTTTCAGCAGGACAGGTGATGTAAATGGTATGAAACTGGAAGATCCGCTGCAGCCCAGCTATTTTGGCTCTCCTTTTAAATCTTGCATCATTTCCTGTTCCCAACCTTTCCCTTCTGTGAAGACTGAGCACCCAAATCATAGCATAAAAAAAGCACAGAGACCCTAACACAACTTTTGTGCCCTCACTTCAGCAACCACCACGTTAGACGCTTGGAAGAATCTCAGCAGCACATTTGAGACCTCTGGAAGACTGACCAGGCCTACAGCTTCCTCAGGGCGGCTGCTGCTGTACAGATCCCATCTGCTTCACAGGGACATGAAAAATCATAGAATCATAGAATGTTTTGGGTTGGAAGGGACCCCTAGAGGTCATCCAGTCCAACCCCAATCTAACAGTGCTTTTCATCACAAATGGGGTTTACGCAATAGACTCCCAGACGTCTGGCAGCCAGGTACGTTCCCTATCGGTGTTTTATCCCAAAGAGAATTACATTGCTGTCATGCCATATTATAAGGCCTTGTTCTACAGCTCTTAATGTAATGGAGGTATTTGAGATGACTAAGAGCTGCTGAATTGGGCTGGGACTTTGTAAAGCACAGTAGGGTTTCCTAAAATGAAAAGCGCTCTTCATGGACTGTCATATTTCATTTCTAATTTGAGGATGCTGAATATGTCAATCAGAAAGCTGTTACTTTCAACTATGATGGTTGGTCTACACCCTCAGGAGGTAAAAAAGGAAGGAAGGACTGTTAACTGTGGTCTAAAATCCTACTAAGCCTCCATCCAAAATTAAAAAGCACACAAATCCATGAGCTATCAACCATTACCATAAAAGCTGTTCAAAGTAATGGCTTCGTTCACAAAACCAAACTGAATTAAGATCAAAACCAGTCACTGATTCACCTCCTCAGAGGCTTGCATTTACTTGCCTGTTGCAGAGCTTCTTGGGAAGATTTACATCAAGTATGAAAGACAAAGTGTTAACAAGCTGAGTTGCATAGCACAATGCAGCACTGATGGTATAAGCAGGGTTATTATGTTCCATATCTAAAAGAAATAAAAACATCACGAAAGTCTCATTTTAAATGAAGCCTCAGTGGGTGTGTTAATGTGTTACTGAAGTCTACTCTGGAAAATGTCACTTGTAAGTATTGAGAACAGCCTGAATCCAGCAATCAGTTACAGTGAAATCTGTCAGAAGTTGGTAGAAAATAGTAATTCTTGGAATTCCCATTAAAACGACGGCATGTGAACCATGTCAAAACTGTGAATAATTAACTTTATCTCTCTATTACATTGCGCTGTGTCCCAGTGAGCATTTCCTGCCAGAGAAGATTTCAGTGGACTAACCCCTACACTGGTATGTATTTCTGACTCAGGTTTGTCTGGGTGAGGACAAACGGCCCAGGCTGCTGCTCCTCAGCACCTTCTGTTGGTGTCTGAGGCTGCAAGTTCTACGGCTTCTGGGAGCATCCCAGACACCTAATGAGGCCTTGCTCCTTACCTGGTCCTTGCGTAGTCTTCTTCTCTTCCACCCAATTGTAGTAGGCTGAATAGTCTCCGTTATTAGGAAGGGTTATCCAAGGCCCTGTGATACTGATGCTGGTGTCCCCGTTATGATCATCACACACCCATCTCCCAGAGAGATAGGTGGTTCTCCTGGCTTCCGCGAGCTTGCTCACAGTGCTAGAGGTCATAGCGTTGTCACTCTCAGAAGACACGTCGGCAGGATCTCTGTAGCACCCAAAGAGGAACAGAGTATTTTTAAAGATGTTTTAAAAACACAATCAGAGATGTACTTGGCAAGCACTTCGCCAGATTTCACAGAGAACAGAACGCTTGTAGAAACACTCCTGCAAAGCTTCTTATTCCCAAAACTACCTTCTTTTGTTCTGGGATTTTTAATTATCTATTTTAAGAATGTTTAACGCTGGACACATACCTCAGATCTCTCAGTGGGGAGATGCTAGCACCTCCAGATTCTTCTATTCTGGACCTCTATCTTTGGGTCAGATCCTTTGCCTCTGGGAAACACCTCCTTCTCCCCACAGATGCTAAGTACACGACTCACTTCTGGGTGTCTAAAACTAAGCAAAATGAGTCCAAAAAGGTAAGCCTTCTGTACCTCATGCTTGTCTTTACTTCTTCAATGGGAAATATGACCGATGTTAGCTCCAGGATATGCGTCCGACGAAGATTTGCCAGATGCTCATACTGGGTTTTCAAGTCATAGGTTTTTTTCTCTACCAAGTCTCCCAGCCTGCGGTTATGCCTCTGGGTCTTCTCTTTCTTCTCCTGATGCCGCTGAGCCCTGCGATAATGCTTCTGGTTCTCCTCTTTAATTCTCTGAACGCCCTCCGCATCTGTGAAAACAGCAGCAGATGTTAGCCTTGGAAAAGGAGCTGTGAGGTACTCATAGTAAGCTTGAGAAAAGCATTCTTAGTATTTATAGAAAACAAGATCAATAGCAGCTTAAAACAGAAAACCCTGCTAAACTATTAACATTTTCCAGCTGCTAAGTGGCACAACTTTTTAATCTTTTCTGAAGATCTCCAAAGAGACTGAAATTAGGATTAATCCTTCCCTATCTTTTACCCAGCTATTTTTGGATTCGGAGCAGAAAAGCCAAGATTTCACAGTTTAATTAAACTTCTGAGGTAATCGTCATGACACAAATAGCTTGACTGTACATGTTTGCACAGCGCTGGCCAAAAAGACATGCATTGCTTGCAGCCAAAATCAAGTGCAGATAGCATCTTCATTCACCGTTTCTGGCACCACGACTTCTATTAGTGTATGTTATTTGGGCTTCGCACTCATGCATGTGCTCTTGAAGCACTTGGATCCCAACGGTGCAGACTTCTTGTTACCAGAAGGGAATGCTGACTACTCCCAAATACACAAAAAGAGAAATGCGCTTATGTACTGAAGTGCTGCAACTGCCTGAATTTACTCCGTGCGTAAGACATGATGCTGAAGCTTGGAAAAATAGCCTTCAAGAACATCTGCTAATTCTCCTATAAAATAACTGACTGCAGCAATGCTTCTGCAAATGTATAGCGCTAGAGAGTGAGTTAACCTCCTCTGTCTTTCAAAAGCATAGGAAAATATTTCTTATACACAGTGTGCTGGTTTGGGCTGGGATAGAGTTAGTTTTCTTCGCAGTAGCTGGTATGGGGCTATGGTTTGGATTTGTGCTGGCAACAGGGTGGATAACCCAGGGATGGTTTCGTTCCTGCTGGGCAGCACAGAGCGAAGACTGTTTCTGCCCCTCACCCCACCCCACCAGCAAGGGGCTGGGGGGGGCACAAGTTGCTCGGAGGAGGCACGGCCAAGACAGCTGACCCCAACTGATCCCAGGGAGATCCCACACCATATGATGTCATGCTCAGCATATAGAGCTGGGGGAAGAAGGAGGAAGGGGGGGGGCATGTTGGGAGCAATGGCGTTTGTCTTCCCAAGTCACCGTTACGCGTGATGGAGCCCGGCTGTCCTGGGGATGGCTGAGCACCCGCCTGCCCATGGGAAGCAGGGAATGAATTCCTTGTGTTGCTTTGCTTGCACGTGCAGCTTTTGCTTTCCCTATTAAGCTGCCTTTATCTCAACCCACGAGTTTTCTCACTTTTACCCTTCTGATTCTTCCCCCATCCCACCAGGGAGGGTGAGCGAGCGGCTGCATGGGGCTGAGTTGCCGGCTGGGGTTAAGCCACGACACACACTCTCCAAACACACGTCTAAAACTCTTAATGTACCCTCGTTTGAATGAAAGCCCCATCTCCGAGACACTCACTTTCCATTTTTATGGCTGAAGAGAAACAGTGTTAGTCAGGTTCTCTTACAGCAAGGCATCACTTTCCTGTAATCAAGAAGTGGGATAACTGCCCCGTGCACAGGAGGGAAGCACTAAGCCCTGACATCCTTTTACTGATATATTTTGATTGCAAGGCACAGATGACACCAAAGCTACAATACAAATGCTCCTGTGTCACCTGCTACTCAAAGAAGCTGCGTTATATATTACTAAAATCAAGAAAACTTCTCATAGTTGCCTCAAACAACACACTCAGACTGTCAGCCTTCCCAATAGGGGAGCACAAAAATCAAAGGGTACATCCAAAGAATGGGACCCAAGATCGATGCCCATCCATGGGCCCGTGCCCAGCCATGCCTGGCCAGCACACGATACCCTCCTGCTAGCCCTGGTTTGCTCCTGCAGAGCTGGAACCACACACACAGACCTCTGCCTGATCCCTGGCCCAGCAAGGTGGGAGACCAGGACTGCTGGTTCCCTTCAGAGTGTGCCTGCCCCTTGCAGACACAGAGGATGCTCTCTCTCAATCTCAGGAATTACTTCTGGTCATCTAAATGATCTGTTGTGATCCATGATATGTAGGAAGGAAGATCTGATAGATGGAGGATGCAAGGTCCCAAATTAAAGGAGGTAAGAGTTGTTTCCCCGTGCAGGTAAGAACCGTGCAGATAAGAATCCTCAGGTTTATAAAATAAGTGACCCCCTGTTAGACGAACCGTAGAAAAATTGACTTTTCTCTGAGCAATACCAAGAATCCCTATGCGCCCGCTAGCAATTCAGTCTCCTTCAAGCATTCCTGTAACATCAACAGAAAATCAATTAATGCTTGCATTCATATTCCTAACCTCTCCCTTTGCATAAAGAATAAGAGACAGAGGAGGAGTAAAATGTCCACCTGTTCAATTTTCACATTCATGTTGTACTTGAAAGGCTTTTTTCTTTTTTTTTTTTTCTCTCACAGAGTGAACTCCCTTTTCTGCAGGGCCACCAGCAATTATCTGAGAAGCAGGGGAGAACACTGCACACACGTTTCCTCTTGAGCAGTCCCAGTGTCGAAACAAATGTGCTTTTCTTTTGGCATAGCACCTCTGCTTTATGACCCAGTTTATGAGGTGATTAAAATCTGTCCCCAGAAGTATTTCAGGACACCACTATGTCCCACACATCTACATTGCCTGATAAATGCAAGCCCAGGCACACTGATCTCTGCCCAACAGAGAGCTACGCCAGATATTTGCAAGATTGTCTCCTTGAACTGTTCTCTGCAGACAGAAGGCAAACACACGTATTTTAGAACCTTATTTTAAGAAGCACCAATTATTGAGGTATCCAGACAACTGCAAAAGCAGGAGCCCAATGTTCTAGAAATTGTTCTTATTTCAGAAAACTAAACTATGCCATACCCAAGAGAAGAGAAGCAACCTACTTACATTTTCTAACATGGCCCAAGAGTGAACCAAGTTGAATTCCTGATCTATGGGCTACCCATGGCAAGAGTTCATTTTGGGTCCACCTGCAAGAGCAGTTTTGGGGTAACTGGGCTAACAAGAAGTTGGTTGGGCAACAATTAGGTCAGCCCATGGGTTAAATCTCATCATCTTCACTGTGAATCAGAAAGGTTGCCAAAGCGGCAGATAATGCGCTTCACAGACCAGCAGAAATGTGGAGGAATTCCCCTCCCTAGTTGGTCCTAACATGTTGCCACCTTCAGAGCTGCATTTTCAGAACAGGTGGCTAAGTGCCTCAAAGACACATTGATTTCCTCTTCCCATTTCTTCGCAGGCTAGAGAGAACAAGTCGTTGTTCTCTCTTTCATAATAACCTTCTACCTACTGAAAAGCTTGCTTTTTTTCACCTTCCTCTTCTCTAAACCAAATCAAACATCAATTTTCTTAGCCATTGCCTGTGTTTTAGTCCAATATTCTCCTCCGGACTTTCTCCAGTTAATTCACATCTTTCTTAAATTCCTCAAACTGGGCTCCAGACTACCACTGAGGTAACACCAGTGCCAGGCACAGCAGGATAATTGCTTCCATCGTAAATACAATGCTTCTATTAGTATAACCCAGAATAAGGTCTGAACCTTTCTGGAACAGCATTAGATTGATATTTTTTATTTAATTTGCAATTCCCCAGATCGTTTCCTGTCAAATCTCAGCACCATCCCCTACTTTGGGTTTATATGTTTCTCTTTCCTAAACAATGTGCACTCAACTTTGTTCTTTTCAGACGATATTGCCAATTTACCTGCATGATTTTGAATTTGATCCCATTCTCCACAGCATCCACCTTGGATTCCTCCATTCCACCTTCTATTCTACCGTGCAAGCTATTATGGAAAATACCGAACAAAACCGGAGCAGGAACCTGTTCCCGCTGGGCTTCCCCTGCCTCACCTCCTCAGTTTGACAAGTTATTGCCAGTCTTTGAATGCAGCCTTTCTAGCCTTTCGTGTCAACCTTACAGTGATTACACCCAGAGCAAGTATCTTTGCTTGCTTGAGAGGCAGCGTGGGGTAGTGCCCAATGGCAAGGTGTGTTGTGTCTTCTGTTTTCTCCTCCTCAACCACTTGATCCCCAGACAAGGCGTTGATTTGACGTGGCCTATTCTTAACAAAGCGATGCCTATTTTTAATTACCTTATCTTCTAACTACCTATGACGTGGTCAGAGGTTTATAATAGGATGAGTGTGTCATCGGTTCCTTCTTCCACCTTTCAAAAAAAGATGCTGTTTTCACTCTGTTTCCTGGGACATCTTCTCTCCCTCATGTGTTCTCAAGTACTCCACAGACTACTTCAGATCGTTCCTTAAGTTCCCTAAGGTGAATGTCATAAGGCCTTGCTGACATAACCAAAATAATATTTAGCTGGCTGTTTTCTTTCCTTAGCCTGCAGTCCTCTCATGATGTAAAATTTAATCTGGCTAAGCAGCTGATCATGTTTTCTTTGTGAGAAGACGAAGGAAAGAAGGCGCTGAATGCTTCAGACTTCTCTCCACCATTATTTGCTCTCTTTCCTGTTAACTAACATGCTTGCCTACTCCTTCATCTTTTTCTTATTATATATTTCTTATTGTTACTATCCATCCTCCTTCTTCATTGAAAATCATTTCGCACCTCAGCCTTTTTGATGTTATCACCGCAAGCTTGTGCTATTCACTTGTAACTACTCTGAAGTATACGACTGTGCTTCCACTCTCTGTATGGCTCCTCTCGAATTTCAGGTCATAAAAATGTTCACAATTCAATCAATATGCTTCCAAATACGCTTCCTATCTTCCCTTTGCATGCAGGTTGTAAGGAGGGCTGCATGTTCTCTTCCAAAAAATGACCCCACTAACCTCTCATGTGTAAAATATTTAATGAGTTTCAAAACTCAAAACCTGAAGCTGCCGAGTGGTAGCAACTCACCAGCCTATGTCGTGTTTCAGTCAGTCTTTCTCAAGTAGGATTTTAGGATTTCTAGTCAGGTGTGGGTTAAAATTCATCGGTTACGTGAAATTCACAACAACTGCAGAGCTGTTTGCTCCTCTTTGTGAAGAGGAAGCGATCAGAAACACTATACTGAATAAAGCCATCTCTAAGGACAAAGCCAAAGTCACAGCTTGCTAAGCATTTATTTTTAAAGCTGTTGCAAAATGATCTCCCGTCCAGCTGAACAACGTCTACTGTTTGCTAATTAAAACCCAAGCATAAAAGGGCTAAAATCCACTCACTGATTTGCCTTCAAGCCGATTTAAGAAGTAACGGTTTGGAAATTCGCCATTTTTAAAAACTACCACTCAAATTCACATCAATGGATTTTTCACTCTAAGGCACAGAGTTTTACACATCACACAAGCACAGGCACTACTCACATCTTGTCATTTCATCATTTTCTTTGCAAATGGTCTGTTTCAGCTGCTCAATCCTCATCTTGCAAGACATTATTTTCCATCTCTGAAAAAGAACATTCAGCAACTCTAGGGCACAAACGACTTCAAACACCACTGACTAATGACTAACAAAGCCAGCAGCTTTAGTGCAAAAGTAGCAGGATGTTCTTAATTGGATCAGATGAACAAATAAATATTTCATATACTGTTTTGTGCATAGAAGAATGCCACAAACAAACCGAATGCTTAGTATAAAGTCAATCAGTATAATAAGTTATTGAACAAATATCTAGTAAGAAATGAAAAATATTGATGGTTTGGAGCACTCTGCTTGCAGAGCCAATTTCAGTTTTGCTTACAACAGGCTTTTTGGGAAAGCAACACAACGCCCTCAGAGTAAATTGTAACTTTATGAGATCTAGGAGTTCAGAAAGTTTAAAAACTATGGGACACTTTGAACAACTCACCAGCTGATCAGTTATCTCGCCTTCAAAACACTAGAGGAAAAAACATGATTGAAAGTTTTATGACTATCTGGACTACGTCTGTCTCCAGCAACAGCGCATTAGAGAGACTGTTTTGGTTTTTTTCTGAGAGTTCTTACAGTTTATTTTCATTTAATAACTACAACTTACTGTTTTTGGAATTCCCTCTGTTTGGTTTTAAGATGCATCAGCCTTTCTTTCTTGTCTGAAAACCTGGAAGAGATTAAATGTTTTTATTGATATTTTGCACAATATGGCATTTTAAGTTGTCTGAAACAATAAAAAGACTGAAGCTTGTGGGAGTCTTTAAACCTCAACTATCTGTCTTAATCTTTGGAAGTAATGGCTAAATGTATAAAGCTCTTGCAGAACTCTAGAGCATCTGTCTCACAGGAATTGCAACAGAACCGCTAAGCTGAGGAAACTCAGCTTGTTGTATTATCAAACTTGTAAGCAAATTACTTGCTATTTCCAGAAGATTTATAGCTTAGCAATACCAGTATTTTGTGTATTAAGTAAAACATAATAGTAGGCTAAAACCCTTCAGTCACTGGAGAAATTAATAGTACTGTCTCAGACACCGTAGCGTTAGTCTGAACCGTGTTATTTCACAGGCTGTGATGGAATTAGCCGAGTCCACTCTGGTAGTGGGAAATGCAGGTTTTCAGACACTCTGCACTGGATTTTCTCCCTTCTAACGTGGAAATGTCTCACACTTTATTCATTAACGGTTCCAAATTGGACAGTACTCTCTTCAAGAGTCACACGTATCACGATACCCAAATCTTTCTTGTATTAGTAACAGCAGTAAGTTGCATTGTCTTCTAATTTCTGCTGGGCACTTGTAGCTCTCACAAGTCCGTGACCCAAATGCCTGCTTGAGTTCAGCTTCACCAGGTATCTGAGGTATAGGAACTGCAAAGAACTGATCAGAAGGGATTTTTTTTTAGGATTCATCACCCTGTGTTTTCACCCTTTGAATATGCAGCAGCCATGTTCTGCTCCCCTCCATGTTCCACAACGTACTGAGAAATACATTTAAAGAAAATAGCATATGAACAACACATATTGAGACATTACAATGAAGCATGAAGTGACAAAGCTAACAGTAAGAGCAAACAGCAAGAGAGACAGCCAAGAGATTTAGATGGCATAAAAAATAGCAAATATGCTTTGTCTTCTGCCAGTGTATGGCTTCCGAACTTTCCTTTGTGCTTCCCATGTTACAGAATCACAGAATGGCAAGGGTTGGAAGAGACCTTGGGAGATCATCTAGTCCAACCCTCCTGCTCAAGCAGGCTCACCCAGAGCAGGTTGCACAGGACATCATCCAGGTGGGCTTTGAATATCTCCAGAGAAGGAGACTCCACAGCCCCCCTGGGCAGCCTGGGCCAGGGCTCGGGCACCCTCAAAGTAAAGAAGTTCTTCCTCATATTCAACTGAAACCTCTTCTGCTTCAGTTTGTGCCCATGGCCCCTGGCGCTGGACACCACTGAGAAGAGTCTGGCTCTGTCCTCATGACTTCCATCCTTAAGATATTTGTAGGTGTTGATGAGGTCCCCTCTCAGGCTAAACGAGCCCAGCTCCCTCAGCCTTTCCTCCTAGGGGAGATGCTCCAGTCCCCCTTGTTGCCCTCCTCTGGACTCTCTCTGGGAGTTGCTCATCTTTCTTGAACCGGGGAGCCCAGAACTGGACACAGTGCTCCAGGTGGGGTCTCAGCAGGGCAGAGCAGAGGGGGAGGAGAACCTCCCTCGCCCTGCTGGCCATGCTCCTCTACTTGCCCGTGTTGAACTCCACCAGGTTCCTCTCCGCCCAACTCTTCAGCCTGCCCGGGTCCCACTGGATGGCAGCACAGCCTTCCCGGGTACCGGCCCCTCCTCCCAGTTTTGTGTCACCAGCGACCTTGCTGAGGGCACGCTCTGTCCCCTCGCCCGGGTCATGGATGAATAAGTTGAACAAGACCAGGCCGAGTACTGAGCCCTGGGGAACCCCACTCGCTACTGGCCTCCAACTGGACTCTGCCCTGCCGATGAGAACCCTCTGACCTCTGCCATTCAGCCAGTTCCCAATCCACCTCACTGTCCACTCATCCAACCCACCCTTGCTGAGCTTCCCTGTGAGGATGTTATGGGAGACAGTGCCAAAAGCCTTGCTGAAGTCAAGGTAGACAACATCCACTGTGCATTACAGCACCGTCCTGATCCACACCTCAAAAGTGTGTCTTGGGTTAAGACCAAGTACGGAAAAACAATTAATGATATTTCTCTCTGGAACACATAGAATTGACAATTTCACCCTAACAAAGGCCTAATACTTCACGTACAACCCATCACGTCCTTTATTTCAGGGATATCTAAGCTTTATTTATAAAGAATTATATGGTAAGCCTTGACAGGATGGCAGCTTGTGCCTGCCTGCCTCTGCTCAGCTCTGTGGGTTTGATTACAAGTAAAACTTTAAAATGCTTCACTTCGTTCCTTAAAGTGCTGAAATCTGAAAGCTTGGTGACTAACTTTGGGTTCAGAAAGCGTGTAATCACCCTTCCAGATGACATTAGCATTAAAACAACAACAAAACTACCAGCTGCTGCCTTCGTATTCAACCAAAAATACCTGTTTTCCTTCCAAAACAAACCAAAACCAAACGTAGGTGCCTGGCATAAAAAGCCAGAGGCCACGGGTGAGCTGGAGGAATGTGGTGCAACCGGAGCCCAGCTTCTCCTATGTGTCCTCACCCCACCAGTCATCATGGAAATTACAGAAGTGCACTGTACTAGACTCCTGTTTACCAGGGAGTAATGCACACCTACTGTACCCCTGACCTTTGGCTGCAACCAAAAATAACTTGGCCCAGAAACACACCGCTCGGCAGTCACACAGGGAGAGCGCGCTGGGGTAATTTGGCAATTCTTGTTTTCAAAGCTGGATTAATGGGCACGCAGTCTGACTAAACGCAATTACCCAAATCACGTCCATCACATCAGCAAAAAGTTGAATGATCTGTCAAGAATCTGGGACTAAATTAAGTTCTTACTGGGGAGAGAAGATGGAAATATTTGTGAAAGCCTGCAAAAATTACAGCTCACCACGCACTTCAGCAACTATGTCAAACAGCTCCTACAAACTTCTTTAGCAGGTTTCTCCTAAGCAAACATTTCCATTTCTTTATATAGCCCCTATTTTAACTGCATTGCATCGTGTAACATTTTTTCTCTATATATCTACAGCCTTTCAATTTGGCAAAGAAACAAAACTTCGGATGAACTATTATAGGAACTCCCATATAATGTAAACTGAGAGAAGCAGAGAACTCAACATCTTAAATTATCCATTGAACGTTTCTCTTTCCTCAAGTCCTACCACATTAAGCTGCGATTTTCTACGGTTACCTGGCTTATTTCCACATGTTCATAATCAGAGGGAAGCAACCAGAAAGGAGGACTTCCTAACCTACAGGGATGGATTAATGCTGAAGGAGCTGAGGACCGCAATAGGTGCATCCATTGCTGTACCTATTCACTATAGCAAAACTCCATTGCTGCAAAAAGTCACCATTCCTAATCATAACCCACAGCTTAGAGAAGTCAGACAGGCTTAGGCATCACAATTATATTGTCTTTGGCTTTTGCCATCTGCAGACACATAAAACAAAGCAATTTAGTATGCTTGTAAAATACACTCTGACAATTTATGCATATGACAGGCCGGAGAAAACCCCCAGGAGCAAGAAGAGCCTCCAAGTTGAAACCAACATCAAGATGCCGGCTTAGCTTTTGAATATACAACGCATTACTAATGAAAAGAAGAATGTCAGTGATTATTTTACTGGAGGACTTCCGGACTACTCATCCTTAATTGTAGCTGTACTTCAATAATTAATCTTAACAGCTCCTCAATCTCTCCCCCTCACGGATACAGGGTGTGATTTTTGCCAGCCATATGAACAACTTCAATCTTACTGCAGCTTTTATAAAAACCAGCACACAAACCAGTCCAACGAAAAGAAAGCTGAAATAATTCTTACTGTCAGAACATGAAATCATTTATCTTCTCATAAGGAAAACCCACAAGAAAATTCTAAAAATCAACCACCACTGGATACCAGGGGTAACGCTCGCTTTCTTTACTTTTCACAAGACAGAGTATGAACCCTCTCCCCCAATCTGTAACACTTCAAAAAGACAAACGGGAGGCCCGAGTGGCCCCATACACTTCCAGACTCCGAATTTCTCACCCCACGCTTACAACCGAGTCACGCAGAAAAGCCCTTGCTGTGACCCTGTCGGCCTCCTCCAGCACCGGCCTTAACGCTGATCTAAAATTAACCCAGGTACTACTAGAAGGCATAAAATAAACAAATAAATAACGATGACAGTAAACACAACCTGAAATCCAGCCAGTTGACTGCACCTGTCCCTGCGTGACTTTGCCCTGGTGTCTGGTCACAGTTTAAGAAGTCGCTCCCCTCTCTCTGCTCACACCGCAAGAAATTCATAGAAACCTGCAGCTTACAAAGAGGACACAAAACCCAACCTCTGAAGCGACAGGCTCTCTTTCTCTCATGCCAGTCATTCCAAGTATTAACTATAGACTGCAGACACAACATCTCAAGCACAGTTTTAAAAAGAAGTAATTCCATTATCTTCAAATTAACAAGAAGGAACGGGGCTTTGTCCCTCCACTGAGCGTTCCGGCTGCAACCGAGCGTGCTTGTGTTATTCATGTTGTGTTATTCGTGTATGTTAAGTTGTTCCTTTAATTCGTTGATATGAAGTTGGTGTTTTCAATGAATTGCACTGCGGCTTGGGAAAGTTTTGAGCAGAAGAAGAAACAAAGCCTGGGGAACTGAGCACACAGGGAGGCCTCTCAGAATGGAGGCTCTAGGAGAAGAGAACAGCAGTGAACCCCACAGATGGAACCATGATGTCCGGGCAGAGGGAAAAAAAAAAAAAGAGGAGACTAATTCCTGCAGTTTAAGAAACACGGCGTAAACATACGGAACATTTTCTAGTCACAGATGAATGGGACAGCGAAAGCATCTTAGGAGGATGCAGTGAAAACCATCAGACAGAAAAGCTGATCTTGTCTCATGTGAGAAGATACGAGGAAGAGGTTTGGCTTTTTTTTCCCCCAACAAGCTGTTGCTTTTGGTACTTTAGCTAGGGCTGCTTCTTTATAGTTTCATTTTTCTGATGGGTAGAGAAGCTTCTTAAGCTTTGGTTAACATGGAACAACAGTGGTTCCACTCCAACAAAGGCTACAATTGGATTTCTATAATTAAGCCAGAGGCTTAGCCACAATCTTAAGGCTACAAAAGGGGCAGGAAAAAACAGTTGGTTTATGTTCCAAATGCCAAACCCACTTTTTTCACAGAAGCTGCAGATAACCCCGAGCAGTCTCACACAAACCCAAGTTTTCCATCTATTTTAGAAAGACCAAAGGCAGTTTGTGGTTCCATGACAGAGTCTCTCACGTTAAAAAAAAAAAAAAGAAAACCCATCCAGTGGCAGGCAAAGGTCTCAATTTTGCAAGCCGATTCACGCCGGCTGACACCCTGTGCCCGCTCCCACCGCTGTTAGTGGCAGACAGACACCGCCGCCCCCTCGGCTGTTCTTGTATTTGGCAGAAGGACGCAAAGAGCCTTTGGTGCGAGGACCATACCGCACCACAGGCTGCTCACCGCCTTCCCAAAATAGTTCAAGAAATCACTCTCAACAGCTGCTAACAAAGCTACAAATGAAGGACCAAGAACACGACGTCAGCCAAAAATCGGAGCTATTCCAGAGACGGTGCTGGGCAGACTTTTTAAGAATCTGGGATGGCCACGCTGTGAACGAGAGCTACGGAGGGGCAATCTGCATCTGAGTCATATAATGAGAATATTTGCTTATCGACGTAACGCTCATTCAGCCGCCCTCCCGTAGAGCCAACGCTTTGCAATAAAGGAGCAGGAAGGTGTGTGATTAACTCAAGCGGAGCATTTTTTGTATATTCTTTTTAACAACAGAATATTTGGGAAAGGAACAAGTATTAAAAAAAAAAAAAAAAAAAAAAAAGAAGTGTTGCTTTCTTGCACACCTTCCTGATTTCGTTTATTGACTTAGAAGACTCCCGGTTTAACCACACGCTGCTGAAAATAGATACGCATTTCAAATATCCAACCGCGCAGCTCTTTGTGCCCCGAACTGTTGCTGTTATCATGATGAGGATGAGGATGATGATGAGGAGGAGGATTTAAGCAACCCGCTGTAGGTCCTGCTCTGCCTGCCTGCCGGGGCCGCCCCCCAGCAG